CACCGTCGTGACATGAGCAAGCTCATAATCCGGTCTGCGTGACAACGCATCAGCCAAATCATTTTGCTCTCCTGGCTTGTACTTCACCTCGAGGTTATATTCTGTGAAGAAGCCACCTGGCCTCATCTGCGAGAGGCGAGGCGACTGAGGCGCAGTGAGTAAGGATGCATGATTCGTGTAGATCACAAACGGCTATGAGCCAAGCAGGTGTACCCTGAATTTTACAACTGCATACTTCCTCGCAAGTAATTCCTTATCGTGGACGGGGTAGTTCCTCTCCGCAGCCTTGGATTCGAACGCGATTAGCCGATCTTGTCTCTCGGCGTCTGCTTGCAGCAGCGCACAACCGATGGCAAAGTCCGGAGCGTCACAGACGACACTGATAGGACGATCGAGGTGTGGCAACGCCAGTATTTGAGCATGAAGAAGACCGTCTTTGACCCTGTCAAAAGCCTCCTTATGTTCGGTGTCCCAAAACCATTTGATATCCTCCTTAGGTAAATTTGACAATGGCCGTGCCGTTTCTCCGTAGTTTACGCTGTACTTGTGCAAGTAGTTGGCGAGATTAAGCCATTTGCGCAAGTCCTTTTGGTTCTTTGGAATTGGCTAGTCCACAATGGCTTAACCTTAGCAGGATCTGCTCGAAGGCCACGCTTCCATATGAAGCATCCTAAAAAGGGAGTTTGCTCCGCGCCGAAGATGTTTTTATCTGAAGTAGCATACAGCTTACTCGTGCGCATGCACTCAAGCACCGCTCTCAAATGGACGATGTGATTTTCCTCATCTGTCCTTCCGTGCCCCGCGACTGTTTACAAAGATGTTGTCGAAGTATGTTTGTGCATACGCCAGATGGGGCCTGAATAATTGCATCACAAGACGATTAAACATTGCTGGTGCATTTGACAGTACTTGAGGCATCACCAGTCACTCCCAGAGCATCCCGCTCGGAGTACTCACCGCTGTCATCAGAATATGACTTGCTCTCATGACTAATTGGTAATATTCATCGACCAAGTCGAGTGCGCTGTGCTTTGTACAACCAACCATATAGTTTTGGAGAACATCCTTTTCAAGAAAATGCGTCTGTGCCGGAATGGTGACAGCGTTGAGCTTTTTGTGAGCGTGGATGATACGCCACTTGCCGTTAGGCTTCCGGACACAAAATGGGTGTCAAATGCGGAGACTTACTCTCACGCACCATTCTTGCGTCGTGCTTTGCACAGAAAAAGGCGTCAATGACGTCACACTGCGGTGAGACCAGTAGGAACACGCACTCGTCGTCGTCCAGTGTCCCAACTCCCTAATCCATCGGATCCTTGATGTTATTACCAACATCCGGCGGAGAGATGCTATTTCCGTAGCCGTCGCCCAGTGGATACCGTGCCACTCCACGCGCATCAGAGGGGCATTGCTCAAGATGCCTCGGACTTTGTACGACCATGTCACTCTTGGCATGCAGCAACTGCTTCAAAAAGTGAGCAGTGCACAGTGGGTTACGTGCCACTCCACGTTCAGCTCACCAGCCACGCCTGGGGTCATGTCCAATGCACCTTCGGTGTTTGACAACTCTAATACTCCAATATTCTCTTCTCTTCTCTCCAAAGCTCCACCAGGAGACGTGCGCGTAGCGCCCAAGGTCGTTGATCTACACTCAGTCTATGGCTCATGGTGTTCCAGCCATGCCATACCAATGATAAGGTCATACCTTGCATCCAAGTCCTAGACTAGGCAGTGTTCCACGCTATCGTAGTCAAGAAACTTGACACCGAGGTCCACAGGGACCCTCGGCACAATATCCCCGTCGCTAAGCGAACAGCGACGGTGTCACTTAACCGCGCTTCCGGTGCCTCAGCATACAGCTGACTTCCTTCGATTGTGGAGCGTCGAGCATAAATGCCCGACGCCCCGGAATCGATAAGGATCTCCATGGCTTCTTAAAGCCCTTCACGGTCGCTTTTACGACCAGCAAACCTGGCTTGCACACACGTTCCGTGTTCAAGAGCACGGAGCTCTTTGGGACTGGGCTCTGCTGCCCTCAACCTCTTTGAGGCACAACAAAGTTCAGTTCTTCCCCAGTAGGGTGCCCCCGACCTACTGGGTGATCTTGTTTCCTCGCAGCATGCCAGACTGGTAAGAAGCGAAACCTCGGTTTGACGAAAGTTTAAGCGTCTTGCGCAGAGACAGCCAGTCCGAAGGTGACGGGTGTCTCCACAGACAAAACACCATCGGGTATTTACACGCTGCATAGCAGCTCGGAGCTCTCCCTCCTCTTCTCAGCATAGCTGAGATCCATTGGCTCAGACCCGATCGAAGATCTTTGAGGGTGTGCATTCCAACCAAGTTGTGTCGACTTAAAGTTGAATTCGGCGTTCATTGCCACATTCACCACTTTTTTAAAAGAAGAAGACGGATACACACGGGAGGCTTTCATTCTAGCCACGCAAGTTCGTAGGCCCTCCATAAAGATGACCACTGCGACCGCCTCGGGGAGAGGATCGGCTGTCTTACCGGCAGTGAAAGTTCTAAATCCTTGGACGAAGTCCACCAACTCCCTCTCGCCTTGTCGCACCGTAAGGAAACGCGATCGCACGAAATATGCCTAGATAGGCGACGAGAACACTCGCGAAAGCCGCAGCTTCAGCTCATCCCAGAAAGGCAACGCAGCTTCATAAAAAAAACGCATGTAAGTGCCCGGTCCCGCGCTCGGCCCCAAGCTTGGAGATAGCTAGCGCCACGGTTTATTGGACCTTTTAAGGTCGTGACCAAGCGAGGCCTTGCGTATACGCTGAACCTTTCGAGAAGGATGCACACCCACCCGGTGTTCTTACACGGGATTGCTTAAGCCGCGCCGGGTTCCGGCGCAAGTGAACGCGGGAGCGTTGGCGCCAGGGCGGCGCCCAAAGGCGCTCGATTACCCACAAGCTGGACCAGCAACTGGTTCTGAGCACGGAGTGCAACAAATATCGTTTCCAGCGGCAAACGGAATTTGTCGGAGCTTTGTCTTCACAAAGCTCCGTCCACGTTTTTTGGGACTTTTAAACTCGTGTCCAAGCGAGACCTTGCGTATAAGCTGAACCTTCCGAGAATAATGCGCACCCACCCGGTGTTCATGTGGGCTTGCTTAAGCCGTACCGGGATGCGGCGCCCAAAGGCGCTCGGCCACCCAGAAGCTGGACCGGCAACTGGTTCTGAGCACGGAGTGCAACAAATTTTGTTTCCAACCGCCCAAGGCTCACGAAATGACGTATTATTCTTACCAACTGCTAGGAGCCGCTTCGACAGAGCACAATAAACTTCAACGAGACAGTCGGTGCACAAAGTGCTGCAGGCCCTCGAGGTCTTCCGCACAGCGGTATGCAACCTCGTTGGCGGAGTGCCGATGACGAGGGACTTTGTCTTCCAAAGCTCCAAGAGCATCACGAGTCACCAGACGGCGATCGACCAAGTCGTCATCGTCCGCCGCCGACTCTTCTCGATAAAATTGGTGGCGTCCACTATCACTTAGATCGCCTTGTGGGTCGACGTCATCAACAGGGTCAAATCCAATATCTTGTGAAGTGGCGGGAATTTCCAAACTCCGACGACTCTTGGGAGTTTGAGGTACCACTTCGACAACACTGCCCAGACGTCGTGGACACTTATGATCAGATGGATCATGACGCTCCGTCGGGCGCTCCGCAATTCTCGGCAGTAGCCCGGGAGGCCGAAGGGCCATTGAGCTGAGCTCAAGCTATGGACCTGAGCTGCTGCGATCGTAGACTCACCCGTGCGAGAAACCACGAAGCTCTCGGGAGCGTGATGGATGTTTCCATGTGTCGCAGGGCGACAATA